CATGTGGTTATGCAGTTTTGAGTGAGTTTCTTAATTCTGAGTTCTAATTTGATTGCACTGTGGTCTGAGAGACTGTCTGTTATGATTTCCATTCTTTTGCATTTGCTGAGGAGTGATTTACTTCCAATTATGTGGTCGATTTTAGAGTCAGTGTGATGTGGTACTGAGAAGAATGTATATCCTGTTGATTGGGGTGAAGATTTCTATAGATGTCTATTAGGTCTGCTTGGTCCAGAGCTGAGTTCAAATCTTGCATATCCTTATTAATTTTCTGTTTCATTGATCTGTCTAATATTGACAGTGGGGTGTTAAAGTCTCCCACCATTATTTTGTGGGCGTCTAAATCTCTTTGTAAGTCTCCAAGAATTTGCTTTATAAATCTGGGTGCTCCTGCATTGGGTGCATAGGATAGTTAGTTCTTCTTGTTGCATTGATCCCTTTACCATTATGTAATGCCCTTGTCTCTTTTGATCTTTAATGGTTTAAAGTCTGTTTTATCAAAGACCAGGATTGCAACTCCTGCTTTTTTTGCTTTTCATTTGCTTGGTAAATATTCCTCCATCCCTTTATTTTGAGCCTATGTGTGTCTTTCCAAGTGAGATGGGTCTCCTGAATACAGCACACTGATGGGTCTTGACTCTTTATCCACTTTTCCAGTCTGTGTCTTTTAATTGGGGCATTTGGCCTACTTACATTAAAGGTTAATATTGTTATGTGTGAATTTGATCTTGCCATTATGATGCTAGCTGGTTATTTTCCCTGTTAGTTGATGCAGTTTATTCCTAGCATTGATGGTCTTCACAATTTGGTACGTTTTTCAAGTAGCTGGTACCGGTTGTTCCTTTCCATGTTTAGTTCTTCCTTCAGGAGCTCTTGTAGGGCAGGCCTGGTGGTGACAAAATCTCTCAGCATTTGCTTGTCTATAAACAATTTTATTTCTCCTTCACTTAGGAAGCTTAATTTGGCTGGATATGAAATTCTGAGTTGGAAAATTCTTTTCTTTAAGAATGTTAAATATTAGCCCTCACTCTCTTATGGGTTGTAGGGTTTCTGCAGAGATCTGCTGTGAGTCTGATGGGATTCCCTTTTTGGGTATCCCAACCATTCTCTCTGGCTGCCCTTAGCATTATTCCTTCATTTCAACCCTGGTGAATCTGATGACTATGTGTCTTGGGGTTGCTCTTCTTGAGGAGTATCTTTGTGGTATTCTCTGTATTTCCTGAATTTGAATGTTGGCCTGCTTTGCTAGGTTGGGGAAATGCTCCTGGGTAATATCCTGAAGAATATTTTTCAACTTGGTTTCATTCTCCCCTTCACTTTCAGGTACACCGATCAAATGTAGATTTGGTCTTTTCACGTGATCCCATGTTTCTTGGAGACTTTGTTCATTCCTATTCATTCTTTTTTCTCTAACCTTGTCTTCTCACTTTATTTCATTGAGTTGATCTTCAATCTCTGATTATTTTTTCTTCTGCTTGATCAATTCAGCTATTGAAACTTGTGTATGCTTTATGAAGTTCTGGTGCTGTTTTTCAGCTCCATCATGTCGTTTATGTCCTTCTCTAAGCTGGTTATTCTAGTTAGCATTTTGTCTAACATTTTTTTCAAGGTTCTTAGCTTCCTTGCATTGGGTTAAAACATGCTCCTTTAGCTCAGAGAAGTTTGTTGTTACCCACCTTCTGAAGCCTGCTTCTGTCAATTTGTCAAACTCATTTTCCATCCAGTTTTGTTCCCTTGCTAGTGAGGAGCTGGGATGCCTTAAAGGAGAAGAGGCATTCTAGTTTTTGGAGTTTTCAGACTTTTTGTGATGGTTTCTTCCCATCTTCATGGATTTATCTTTTTTGGTCTTTGAGGTTGGTGAACTTTGGATGGGGTTTCTGAGTGGACATTCTTTTTGTTGATGTTTAAACTATTTCTTTCCGTTTATTAGTTTTCCTTCTAACAGTCAGGCCCCTCTGCTTCAGGTCTGCTGGAGTCTGCTGGAGGTCCACTCTAGACTCTGCTTGTGTGGGAATCACCAGTGGAGGCTGCAGAACAGCAAAGATTGTTGCCTGTTCCTTCCTCTGGTGGCTTTGTCCCAGAGGGGTACCTGCCAGATGCCAGCCAGAGCTTTCCTTTATGAGGAGTATATAGGCCCCTGCTGGGAGATGTCTCCCAGTCAGGATATATGGATGTCAGGGAGCCACTTGAGGAGGTAGTCTTTCCCTTATTATAGCTCAAACGCTGTGTTGGGAAATCCTCTGCTCTCTTCAGAGCTGCCAGGCAGGGCTGCTTCAGTCTGCTGAAGCCATACCCACTACTGCCCCTTTTCCCATGTCTTCTATCCCAGGAAGGTTGGGGCTTTATTTATAAGTCCCTCATGGGCTGCTGCCTTTTTTCAGGGATGTCCTGCCAAGTGAGAACATCTAGTGAGACAGTGCCTGCAGCTGCTGAGATGCATTGCACTGTGCCCAGCTCAGACTTCCCGGCAGCTTTGCTTACACTGTGGGGTTGAAACAACCTACTAGAGCATCAGCCATGGCAGACACCCCTCCCGACATTGATCTCAAAAGTCCCAGGTCAAGCTCAGATGTCCCAGGTCAAGCTCAGACATTCCAGGTTGTACTCAGACTGCTGTGCTGGCTGCAAGAATTTCAAGCCAATGGATCTTAGCTTGCTGTTGCCAGTAGGGGTGGGACACACCAAGCCAGACCACTTGGCTCCCTGGCTTCAGCCCCGTTTCCAGGGGACTGAGCAGTTCTGTCTCGTATGCGTTCCAGGCACACCTGGGGTATGAAAAAAAAAAAAAAACTGCTTGCAGCTAGTTCAGTTTCTGCCCAAATGGCTGCCCAGTTTTGTGCTGGAAACCCATGAGCCCTGGTGGTTGCGTAGGTACCAGAGGGAATCTCCCGATCTGTGGTTTGTGAAGACTATAGGAAAAGCACAGTATATGGGCCAGAGTGCAGGAAACAGTCCTTAACATCTTCCCTTGGCTAGGAGAGGGTGTTCCCCGGCGCCTTGCACTTCCTGGGTGAGGCAATGCCCCACCCTACTTTGGCTCACCCTCCTTGGGCTGCACCCACTGTCCAACCAGTCCCAATAAGATGAACCAGGTACCTCAGTTGGAAATGTGGAAATCACCTACCTTCTGCATCCATCTTGCTGGGAGCTATGCACCAGAGCTGTTACTATTTGGCCATATTGCCGGGGGACCTGGGCAATTATTCTTAAAGATTTGCAGCCCATTGGATATGCTGACATTTAAGACATTCACTATCAATATCTTATTTCCTTAATCCCACAATCTCAATAAAAACTTTGGTCTAAATATGAATGGAAATGGGGAGTTAATTAAAGCAAATACTTGTGACAGATTAATTATATGTTTTTCTCTTACACACTATGTATAGAAATGAAGCTCATTTGCCTTAGTTTTCTACCTTCTTATCCATAATACAAGGATTCTTCAATCCTCATGGAGCCCCAGTAACATGTGAAATTTGTGCTAGGTACTGCAAGGGATGCCAAAAATGAACAAGGCATCAGTTGTATGGGAATATGCCATCTCTTACAGGAGAAATAAATAAGTACTGTATTCAAGTATTAAAGTGAGAATTTAAATGCTATAAAGCAGTTACAATAGAGGAAATTTAAAGGAAGGATAGATCATACTGAGTAGGATAAATCAGAAAATGAAGTCTAAACTTTGGAAATGAGAAATTATTCTGGAAATTCATAGATGAATTTATTAGTAGAATAGAGTCTTCTATGGAAGGGTGCAGCCTAAGCAAATTAAACGAGAAAAGGGATTGACTATGTTTCTGCAACTTCAAGAGATCCAGTTTCCCTACAGAGCAAAGGAGTAGAACAGGAGAGAAAAAGGCAATGGATCCGTGCATCCCCTAAACTATTTTACCATGTATTTTACTCTGACAAAACAACTATCACTTATTTGCTTTTTCTTTCTTTTCTTTCTTTCTTTTTTTTTTTTTTTTGAGACAGGGTTTCCCTCTGTCGTCCAGGCTAGAGGGCAGTGGTTCAATCACCGAATTCTGCAGCTTCTGAACCTCCTTAGCTCAAGCAATCTTCCTGCCTCTACTTTACAAAGTGTTGGGACTATAAGCGTAAGTCACCACGTCCAGGCTTATGGGCACTTTTCTGTGCACTTTTACATGTAACTCTCTAAATCATTCTTTGCCACCTTTCATGTGCATAGGAATCACCTGTGGTTCCCGTTAAATGGAGATCTTGATTCAGTAGGTCTGGGTTGGAGTCTGAGCTTCTGCATTTCCATTGAGCTCACAGCTGATGCCTACCTTTGAGTGGCGAAGGCTCCAAGTGTGATTTCTAGCCATTAGTATTAATTACCTGGGAACTTGGCAAAAATAAAATGCAAATTCTTGGCCCCCACAAGGGATCTACTGAATTCTAAACATTGTGGGGAGACCCAGCACTCTGTAGTGTTTTAACAGGCAAGTGGTTAAAGTTTGAGAGCCACACGTAAGTCACAGGTTTCCTAACATGACTGCACACTGGAATCACCTGTGGTTTTTAAATAATACTATTGATGCTGCATCTCACCCCCCGAGATTCCCAGGGACGGGGCGTGGCCTTGGAAGCGGCCGTCTAAAAGCTCTCCCTGGTGATTCCAATCTGTAGTAACATTTGAGAACTGCGTCAGGTGGGGACTTCAACTTTTACAGGCCTTATTTTCCTCCTATGTAAAAGGTGGACAATGTCCAAGTGGTCCTGACTTTGCTTCCAGATTTTGGTAACTCCAGCCAGCCCTAGTTGGACCTGGAGAGCCCGCTTCCCGCCCCGTGTGCCAAGGCCTGTCGGAGAACCCAGGGCCCGGGGAGTGGACCTGTGGGAGCATCCGTGACGCATTTCAGCACCCTGGCGCCGCCCCGGCTGCTCAGGCGTGGCCCAGTGACCAGCTGGCGTCTGCTCCCCTGACCGCACCCACTAGACCGTCTCTGAGTGGGACACGCATGCGCCGGCCAGACCGGGCACCCAGTAACGGACTCGAGCTCCACCCCCCCCACCGGAAGTGGGCAGCCGCGCGCCGGGAAGAGCCGGCTGGAGCCTGGCGGCCGCAGACTGGATGCCGGAGCTAAGGGACTCGCGCTTTTCTCTCCGTGCCATGGCGCCAGCGAAGGCCACGAACGCGGTGCGGCTGCTCCTGGGTTCCACGGCTCTGTGGCTCTCGCAGCTCGGCGCCGAGACGGTTTCCGCGTCCAAGGCGGTGACGGCCCACTTGGCCGCGAAGTGGCCCGAGACCCCGCTGCTGCTGGAGGCGAGGTGGGTGCGGGCCGGGCCCTTGGCCGGGCGGGTGTAGACACGCTGCCACCCTCAGCCCCCCTCTTTTCACGCTCACAGCGGGTGTCTTCTAGCTGTCACCCGGCTTCTCCAGACGCCCCCGCTCTGACCCTGAGCATCAATCACTACCTCCTTTTCTCCTGACCTAGGGCAGCTTCTCAGTTCCCGTGCAGCACTCACTTGCAATTCCTTTTTCCCTCAGGTCTTACTTTGCTCACAGTTTTAAAAACTTCTTGCTCTGCTTTAATTCATTGGGATTTATTAGCATTTACGCGTGGCACTTAACGCAAGCGCTTCAACTGAGGTAGGCAGTTCCGTTCAGCAGACAGTTTTTAAAGTACCTAGTTTCGTAATGACGACATCATACCATCAGCTCCTAAGCTTGCTGTGGGGAGGGCAACTTCCTGCAAAGAAATATTTTTCCTTTACCTCTTCCAACGGAATTAGTTCATGACCTGTCATTTACTCTGCAGGAACAAAACTTGTAGCTATTGCATTTTGCCCCTTAGTATTCCAATAGTTGAGTAAAATTATAAAGTTCTTTCTCTTAGCAAAAATTTTCTTCAAAATACCACCATCGTTCTTCATAAAACTAGGAAACTTAGTAACTTAGTAAAAAAAAAAAAAAAAACAAAACTTTTACACCAACGACTTAATGGTTGTTCACAACAACAGCGTGTGGTCCCAAAGAGAGACTCCATCACTCCTCGTAAGTTGCATGTATTTGATGCTAAACCAGTTTAAAATTTTTTTTTTTTCATTTTTATAGATTATTGGGGAACAGATGGTGTATGGTTACATGAGTAAGTTCTTTAGTGGTGATTTGTGAGATATTGGTGAACCCATCACCCCTGCAGTATACACTGCCCCCAATTTATAGTATTTTAGCCCTCACCCCCTTTCCATCCTTTCCCCCGAGTCCCCAAAGTCCATTGTGTCATTCTTATGAGTTTGCATCCTCATAGTTTACCTCCCACATATCATTGAGAATATATGATATTTGGTTTCCCATTCCTGACTTAATTCACTTAGGATAATAGTCTGTAATCTCATCCAGGTTGCTGTGAATGCCATTGATTCACTCCTTTATGGCTGAGTAGTATTCCATTATATACATACACCACAGTTTATCCACTTGTTGATTGATGGGCATTTGAGTTAGTTCTGCATTTTTGCACTTGTGAATTGTGCTGCTATAAACATGCGTGTGCAAGTGTCTTTTTCATATGACTTCTTTTCCTCTGGGTGGACACCTAGCGAGATTGCTGGATCAAATGGTAGATCTACTTTCAGTACTTTGAGGACTGCCCACACTGTTTCCATAGTGGTCATACTAGTTTAGATTCCTACCAGCAGTGGAGAAGTTCCCTGTTCACCGCATCCATGCCAACATCTATTAGTTTTTGGTATTTTGATTATGGCCATTCTTGCAGGAGTAAGGTGGTATTGCATTGTGGTTTTGATTTGCGTTCCCCTGATCGTTAGTATGTTGAGCATTTTTTCATGTTTGTTGGCCATTTGTACATCTTTTGAGAATTGTGTCTTCATGTTCTTAGCCTACTTTTTGATGGGATTCATTCCTGCTGATTTGAGTTCCTTGAAGATTCTGGATATTAGTCCTTTGTCAGATGTATAGATTGTGAAGATTTTCTCCCACTCTGTGGGTTGTCTGTTTGCTCTGCTGACTGTTCCTTTTGCCATGCAAAAGCTCTTTAATTAAGCCCCTGGTATTTATCTTGTCTTTTAAATTGCATTTACTTTGGGGTTCTTGGTTATGAAATTCTTGCCTAAGTCAATGTCTAGAAGGATGTTTCTGATATTATCTTCTAGAATTTTTATAGTTTCAGTTTCTAGATTTAAGTCCTTCATCCATCTTGAGTTGATTTTTGTATAAAGTGAGAGATGAGAATCCAGTTTCATTTTCCTACATGTGGCTGGCCAATTATCCCAGCACCATTTTTTGAATAGGGTGTCCTTTCCCCACTTTGTTTTTGTTTGCCTTGTCAGAGATCAGTTGAGTGCAAGTATTTGGGTTTATTTCTGGGTTCTCTATTATGTTCCATTGGTCTGTGTGCCTGTTTTTACACTGGTACCATGCTGTTTTGGAGACTATGGCCTTATAGTGAAGCAGGAGTGGCTACAAACAAACTTCTCGAACACTGAACAGGGAAGGAAATGGTAACTTTATTTGGCCAGGCACTCAGGCAGGCCTAGATGCCTCAACAACCAAGCTACCTGACAAAGAAAATCCTGGCCCTTTTAAAGGCTCACAATGTAAGAGATCTAAGAGGTGCACATGTGAGAGGGTCATGATTAATTTAGCAAGCGTGGGGATGTGACTAGATAGGGGTCTTGAGCGGTTGAGTAAGAACAATGCCTTCCAGGATAAGGTTCCTCCATACCACACCTGTAATCTATAGTTAGGATTGTGGTTAGGAGTAGGGGGTTTAATTTTTAACCTCCAGACCTGGTTAGTGGCGCCAGCTGGTTCTTCCACTGACCTCATCTGGCTTTTAACTTTCTTTTCCTTGTTTTCTCCAAACACAGGCTGAGAAAAGGGAGTCTCCTTCCTCAATAGCATAGTGTGAAATCAGACAATATGATGCCTCCAGATTTGTTCTTTTTGCTTAGTTCATAGCTTTAGCTATGTGGGCTCTTTTTTGGCTCCATATGAATTTTAGGATTTTTTTCCTAGTTTTGTGATGAATGGTGATGGTATTTTGATGGGAATTGCATTGAATTTGTAGATTGCTTTTGGCAGTATGTTTATTTTCACAGTATTGATTCTACCCATCCATGAGCATGGGATATGTTTCCATTTGTTTGTGTCATCTGTGATTTCTTCAGGCAGTGTTTTGTAGTTTTCCTTGAAGTCTTTCACCTCCTTTGTTAGGTATATTCCTAGGTATTTTATTTTTGTTGGAGCTATTGTAAAAGAGGTTGAGTTCTTGATTAGATTCTCAGCTAGGTTGCTATTGGTGTATAGGAGAGCTACTGATTTGTGTACATTAATTTTGTATCTGGAAGCTTTGCCGAATTCTTTGATCAGTTCTAGGAGCTTTTTGGAGGAGTCTTTAGGGTTTTCTAGGTATACAGTCTCAATTTGACTTCCTCTTTACCGATTTGGATGCCCTTTATTTCTTTGTCTTGTCTGATTGCTCTGACTAGGACTTCCATTACTATGTTGAATAGAAGTGGTGAGAGTGGGCATCCTTGTCTTGTTCCAGGTCTCAGAGGGAATGCTTTCAACTTTTCCCCATCCAGTATTATGTTGGCTGTGGGTTTGTCATAGATGGCTTTTATTACATTGAAGTGTGTCTCTTGTGTGTTGATTTTGCTCAGAGTTTTAATCATAAAGTGATGCTGGATTTTGTTGAATGCTTTTTCTGCGTCTATTGAAATGATCGTGTAATTTTTGTTTTTAATTCTGTTTATGTGGCATATCATTATTGGCTTGCATATGTTAAACCATCCCTGTATCCCTGGTATGAAACTGTCTTGATAATGGTGGATTATCTTTTTGACATGTTGTTGGATTCGGTTAGCTAATGTATTGTTAAGAATTTTTGCCTGTATATTCATCAGGGATATTGGTTTGTAGTTTCCTTTTTTGGTTATGTTTTTTCCTGGTTTTGGTATTAGGGTGTTACTGGCTTCATGGGAGGATCCCCTCTTTCTCTGTCTTGTGGAATAGTGTCAATAGGATTTGTACCAATTCTTCTGTGAATGGCTGGTAGAATTTGGCTATATATCGCTCTGGTCCCGGACTTTTTATGTTGATAATTTTTTTATTACAGTTTCAATCTTGCTGCTTGTTATTGGTCTGTTCAGCGTATCTAATTCTTCCTGATTTAAGCTAGGAGGATTGTATCTTTCAAGGAATTTATCCATCTCCTCTAGGTGTTCCAGTTTATGCATGTAAAGATGTTTGTGGTAGCCTTGAATGATCTTTTGTATTTCAGTGTTGTTAGTTGTAATATCTCCCATTTTATTTCTAATTGAGCTTATTTGAATTTTATCTCTTTTTCGTTGGTTAATCTTGCTAATGGTCTATTAATGTTTTTCAAAGAACTAGCTTGTTTCATTTATCTTTTGTATTTTTTTTTGTTTCAATTTCATTTAGTTCTGCTCTGATCTTGGTTACTGCCCTACTTCTGCTGGGATTGGGTTTGCTTTGTTTTTGTTTCTTTAGTTCCTTGAGGTGCGACCTTAGATTGTCTGTGCTCTTTCAGGCTTTTTCATGTAGGCATTTAGGGCTATGAACTTTCTTCTTAGCACTGCCTTTGCTGTATCCTAGAGGTTTTCATAGGTTGTGTCACTGTTGTCATTCACTTTGAATAATTTTTTAATTTCCATTTTGATTTCATTGTTGATCATTCAGGTTATTTAATTTCCATGTATTTGCATGGTGTTAAAGATTCCTTTTGGGGTTGATTTTCAGTTTTATTCCACTGTTGTCTGAGAGAGTGCTTGATATAATGACAGTTTTCTTAAATTTATTAAGGCTTGATTTGTGGCCTATCATATGGTCTGTCTGGGAGAAAGTTCCATGTACTGATGAATAGAACGTCCATTCTGACATTGTTGGACAGAATGTTCTATAAATATCTGTTAAGTCCATTTTCTCCAGGGTGTAGTTTCAATCCATTATTTCCTTGTTGACTTTCTGTCCTGATGACCTGCCTAGTGCTCTCTGTGGAGTACTGAAGTCCTCCACTATTACTGTGTTACTGTGTTTCTCATTTCTTAGGTCTAGTAGTAATTGTTTTATGAATCTGGGAGCTCCAGTGTTTATTGCATACATGTTTAGGATCGTGATATTTTCCTGTTGGACAAGGCCTTTTATCATTATATCATGTCCCTCTTTGTCTTTTTAAACTGTTACTGCTTTAAATTTTGTTTTGTCTCGAATAAGAATAGCTGTTCCTTGTTCTTACTCATAGGCGGGTGTTGAACAATTAGAACACAGGGACACAGGGAGG